AAAAACAAAGTTGGTGATGATGGTGTTCCTGCCATCCTGCAATATAGGCCATCCGATTTATATCCGACGGATAGAAAGGAAACTATTGCAATTTTGCAAAAAGATATCCACACCCCTCTCCGCATTTGCAAATAAGGCATTCCCTCGTTCATCCTTTTGTCCCACAAGATAAACTACTCATACAAATGCATCTTAATGTTCCATGCAACGCATGGGCATCTTGCAAATAGGGAGAAGGAGTTTGTGTGACACATATCTAGCTATATTAAGGGATAGGTAGATAGCATTTGTGCGAGGCATACTTGAAGCATCACAAAGGTAAACAAACGGTGTGCATGCAAGTGCCAGAAAAAATGAAGCGAGAAACTATGTGCGCGCACGCGCGCGCGCGCGCGCGTGTGTGTGTGTGTGTGTGTGTGTGAGAGAGAGAGAGAGAGAGAGAAATCTCAGAAGAAAAGGTGCTCTGTTGGAATCCCATTGTATGTATTCATATGGTTCCAGAACTCGAGTTAACCTTAGGCATATGTGTGAGAGACATGATTATACTTTGAGACATTAGTGGTTGTGGGTGGGTGGAATTAAAGTGGTGGGCATGTTAGACATAGAGAGCGTGTGTGTTTCTATGTGAGAGACTTGTAGGACAGGGTAGAAAGACGAATTTAACCTTGATGGAGGGAGAGAAATACACGAAGTGCGCGTGTGTGATTCCGATGCCCACAAGGAAATAAGATATGTATGCGTGTGAGAGAGATTGCACAATTCATTCACGTATCACTATCTAGCGATCATGGACGTGCATCGCTTGAACATAAGTCAATATCTACTTCATATCGTGGCCAAAGGTACAATATCGATTCAACGCTATAAAGATTGGACACTCACATATTATTATTTTTTATATTTAAGTAAACCTTTTCAGTTGTGCATGCCAATGTTACCCCTTGGCAGCCAGTCCATTTTTACTTACTTTATTGAGTACCATATGTTGCACGCGCACACTTTGAAAACTTTATGAAACACTTTTAACTTGTGTATCATGCTAGGCGGGCAATACATAAATCTTCTCGATGATATGTTCAAGAAGGATATCTTGAGGAAACCATTGGGAGGTTTTGGTTTAGAAATGGATCGAAGTGCCTACTCACTTGCTTCAGAATCAAGCAAACGTCTTGCTTCAGAAATGGATCGTAGTGTTGTCTCACTTGCCTCATTCAATGGTGATGACTCTGTTATACAGTCCTTACTTTTCCATTTTTTTAATTGTTCAATGATTGATAACTGACATGACTATCTCTGTAGGATTTGCAAAGAAGTTTTCTTGCACAGGTGTATTTATAAAGGGCAAAAAATGCTCTGCAACAATTCTGACTTCAGCAAGTTTGGTTAGAGTTCCTGGCAGTGCACACATGATTGATGATAACTTATGGGTTGTTACTGCTAATTGCTACTATCATTTTTTTTTGCCTTTTCATTTCAGATACTGGTTATTAACATAACCTTATTATTGCAGATTGAAGTTTGCCTAACAGGCGGATTTCGAGTTGTAGGGATGTTGAACTGTTATAATTTATACTACAATGTTGCTCTTGTTGACATCATCGGATTCTGGCGTCCTCGTACAATAAAAATCCATCGGCATCCAGTTACCTCATCTATGGACGTAATAGCTGTTGGTAGTCTTTTTGCGCGTCGCAAACTAATGGCTGTTGAGGGGAAGGTGTTGATTGGCAAACAAAGCAAACTTGATTGCAAAGAACTTTGTGTCTCCACCTGTGTAATCACCAAGGTATTTCTTGTGGACTTCCCCAGTACCTCTAACATGCCAAAAAGTTACTAGGCTATCACTACATCTATCAAACGATATCTGTGTGTAACTCTTGTATGTTGTTCCTTTTGTCTTGCTAGGCTGGGATTGGGGGGCCTCTTATTGACAATGATGGGAATTTTGTTGGAATGAACTTCTATGATGAGGAAGAAACTCCGTTCCTGCCGAGGGATGTTATTCACCGCCTCTTATTGAACTTAAATAAAACACGGTATGTCTTAAAAAAAAGCTTGTAGGTTTTAGGGTTGTTGTCCTATTTGTATATTCATCTCTAGTTTTACATCATTCAATCATTTTCACTAAAACATAATTTTGGCCCAATTATTTTGGGCTGATATGACAACTTGTGTGTGCCCCGAAGTGTAAAACTGTGCACTGATGTAGTGATGTAATGGTACATGATTCCAATAACTTAATTCATCAGTGTGTTCTGTTGTTATCTACCATTATCATACTTGATACCATACTTACATGCACCGTCTCATCGTGCTCTTATCCTTTTCTATTTTTTATGCATTAAGATGTTATGTCATTGGTTTAAACTAAACTTGTTTCCTCGTGGTAAAACTGATTTTGGGTCTACTTGCAGGGCTAGTGCAGATGATACTATTGTCAAGGGTGTTGAAAACAGGTATTCTTTCTGAAGTACGGTATTGTTTGAAATAATTTACTGTATTCAGTAACTCTTATGCCTTTTGAAATGACTTTCAGCAACAGATGGATGTTTCCTGGTGGGACACATGGAAACACTGAATCTATTGCAGCAATTGATGGATACAAGTATTCTTTCTTAGACATGTTAATATCTATCTGTAACATTGTTTAAAATAGATCTCTTCATTGACTTGTACTTGCTCATGACAGATGGCCGTTGCCTGAGCCACGCTACGTCGGTCGTAGTGACATCCATTTGCCACTTCAGAAATGGCCTCTGGGTCGCCGAAGGCCTCTGCCTGTGTGATGTCACGTCGATTGTAGGGCTGACGATCGCTGCAAGTATTGAAAATGTTTTCTTGTCCATTGGTGCTGGGACCTCCATTCTGAGCTGCTCGAATACTAGTGGTATTAATATTGCTTCCTCTTTGACAGACTCCTGCTCGGTGTTTTGTTGGCGGTTGGCTGTCAGTCCCCCATTGTGAACCGTTGGCTTTGTGTCGCTAGAGTTCTGTTGTCATCGGAACCAATTAATGTTATGGTGTTCTGTATGTGTATAGATGGGTAAACCCTGTCACAAGCCCATGTGCTCTAGACATAGTGATGTCCAGTGATTTATGTTCTTGACTTGTCGCCCGGGTAGGAACACAAGTAGCAAGAGTCATCTCCAGGAGCTTGCCATCGCTACTAATACGTATGGATGATTGCATCCGGTGGCTTTGAAAATGCACAACAGGAAGATGAAGGTTGTGTGATGGCTTTTCCGCCTCCATCCAGTTGTGCCACCGCAACCGAAGCTTTAGTGTGTCGATCTCTGCTTTTATGCAAGGGATTGCAAGCCCACACAACTCTTGGGATATCCATCGCACAAGGCACTTAGAGCAACTCCAACGCGGAAAATCCTATACGACGCACTTTGCGTCAAAACTGTCGGGGTTCGCATAGGGTTTGGAGGGAGCGACGCGATCTGGGCCGGCCTGTTAGCGCAGCTATGGTTTTCTCCGGTTTTGGAAACCTTCTAGAAGGTTTGTTGAATCGCTTTTTCTTTTTTCCTGTTGTTTTTCCTGGCTGGTTTTCATTTACTTTTTTTTCTTTTATGTTTCTTTTTTTATTTTCGTTTTCGTTTTTATATTTTCTGTTTCTTTCTTATTTTTTATTTTATTTCCTTTTTCTGCTTCTTTTTTCAACAATGCGCAAATTTGAAAAATGTTGAGAATTCAAAATTGCTCGAAAAGTAAAAAATGTGTTTGGGGTTTAAATTTTTTTATATTTTCAAAAGAAGTTCACAAATTTAAAAAAAGTTTGCATTTTCAAAAAATGTTCTCAACTAAAAAATGTTTGTGTTTTCAAAATGTTTAAAAACTTGAAAATTTTCAGATTTTCAAAAAATGTTCGCGTTTAAACAATATTCATAAATTTCAAAAAATGTTGACGTTGTTCAAGATAATGTTTGCAATTTAAAAAAATGTTCACCATACCAAAATTTTGTTCACAATTTCAAAAAGATGTTCTTGTTTTAGAAGATGTTTCATTTTTTCAAATTTGTTCACAATTTCAAGGGAAATTCGTGTTTGAGAAAACATTCATGAATTTCAAAAAATGTTCTCGTACGCAAAATTTGTTCACCATTTAGAACAAAATTCATGTTTAAGAAAATGTTCGAGGTTTCAACATTTTGTTCACAATTTGAACAAATATTCTGACGTTTCAAATTTTGTTCTCATTTTGAAAATAGCGTACAATAAAATTTTGTTCACATTTGTTTTTAAAAGTTGTGTTTTATCTTTTTTGTTCTTAGTTTAGTTTCTTTTCCCGTTTTCCATTTTTGTTCAAACATAAAAATTGTTCACTATCTCAGAAAATATTCGGAAGTTCAGAAAAAGCGTTTTTGTTTTTTGTTAATTGTCCGCTTTTTGTGAAAATATTAACTTTTGAAAAAATTGTTCGCGCTTGTGAAAACTGTTCGGGATTTGCAAAATATGTTCATGTTTTGTTTTTCAATCGGAATTACAAACCATCTTCAGTTTCACAAAAAAATTGGAATATAAAAAAACTGCGGTTTTCAAAACAGCTCGCAATTTTCAAAAAATGTATTCAAAATGGTTTCCAAATCTGAACGCCACCACGTATTCTTATAGCTGTTCGCACCTTAACTTTCAATTGGCGCCCATGTGGTGTGGTGGTTGACTGCTCGCTATCGGTGTGTGAAGTTGAGGGATCGAATCCTGGCAGGCAACAAGCGGTTTGGTGAGCCGGCCCAGTCATGCGTCAGCCTGTGCGTCCAACTGCTTGTATGACGCAAAATGCGTTATATAGGAGGTCTCCCCCAACGCGCCTACCTAAACTGACCACGTGTGCTCATTTGGATTGAAACGGACACACAAGTTGGCCCAAAGCGCAAACGCAAATGGACCAGCGTTTGCCTTTTTTTCCATGTGTGATGCATTTGAGGCCCAAATTTAGGCCGCGTTAGCATTCGCACGGACATGCAACGGATGCGCGCCACTCCCTTGTCCTCCCCTTGGCCCGCGAGTTGGTAGCACATTGGCCATTCTGTATTCCTCCCATCGATACCCAGCACACCTGGTAGCCCACCCGGCCTGCACCCACATACCTCCCCCAGTAGCACGCCACCTCCTGTCGACCACATACTTTGGCGTTCGGTAGACCGTTTTCGTCGCTGCCAGCACCACGATGTCGACGCCACCACCCCCTCGCTTCCCCCTGCCAGCAGCACACAAGCGTGGCTACCTTGCTCCCCAGACACCGCCACGTATGCCTTCACGCCTACACACCTGCTACCTGGTCTTGGAGAGGCTCGAGGCTCTTCACCGGTCGGCTTCTTCCACGATGACTGCAAGGTGTTCGACGGTTTGCCCGTAAGGTACAAGTGGACTCCGGCGATGAGTACATTTTCCACAATTTCATTTGTGATTCGGATGATTCTTCATTCGACGAGGAGGAGATTATGGCTGCTGCTTTGGTCGTCCATGACCACATTCGTAGGTAGCGGCCGATGTTCAGGGGCTCGATCCCGGGGCATACTCTAGTGTTGAATCGCAAACGAGAGAGACGCCATCGCCTACTCTAGCAGGACTCCTTCGAGTCCCTAACCCGCTCTTCAAACACCACCTATTCCGGCGTCATTTCTCGATGGCTAGACATGTGTTCAACCGTATCTGGGTGGGGGTGGCGGCATGCGATAACTATTTCGATTGCAAGGAGGATGCCCTGGGAAAGATTGTCTTCTTCTCTTATAAAAAATGCACTGCAACTATTTAGATGCTTGCTTACGGAGTACCCGGTGATCTCATTGATGAGTATGTCCGAATGAGTGAGTCCACGTGCCTAGACTCCATGTACAAGTTCTGCAAGGTTGTGGTATCATTGTTTGGTCTGGAGTACTTGAGAGAGCCAACTGATGCAGATGCAGATACAGCCCGACTGTTGGCGATTAATTTGAGTAGGGGCTTTCCGGGGATGCTTGGTAGCATAGATTGTATGCAATAGGAGTGGAAGAACCGCTCTTCTGCTTGGCAGGGGCAGTATATGGGCCATGTCAAAGCTTGCACTATCATATTCGAGGCCATGGCTTCACTAGATCTCTGGATTTGGCGCTCTTTCTTTGGCATGACTGGATCTCACAACGACATCAACGTTGTTCAGCGCTCTCCGTTGTTGCAAGGCTTGCAGAAGGCAACTGCCTGGAGGTCAATGCTGAGATCAATGACCACCACTACAACAGAAGATACTACCTAGCTGACGTTATCTATCCTCAGTGGATTACTCTTGTGAAGACAATCCCTAACCCTGTACAAGAGAAGAGGAAGAAATTTGACCAAGAACAACAAAGTGCTAGGAAGGATGTGGAGAGTGCCTTTTGTGTTCTTCAATCTCGATGGGGCATCTGAAAGATCGTGGATGTCGCCTAGAGGGGCGGTGAATCGGCGCTTTAAAAAAATTACGATTTAGGCTTGAATAAATGCAGAATAAACCTAGCGGTTAATTTGTCAAGCACAAAACCTACAACAACTAGGCTCACCTATGTGCACCAACAACTTATCCTAAGCAAGATAAACTACTAAGTGATAGCAAGATATAACACAAGAAACAATATGGCTATCACAAAGTAAGTGCATAAGTAAAGGGCTCGGGTAAGAGATAACCGAGGAACGCGGAGACGATGATGTATCCTGAAGTTCACACCCTTGCGGATGCTAATCTTTGTTTGGAGCAGTGTGGAGGCACAATGCTCCCCAAGAAGCCACTGGGCCACCGTAATCTCCTCACGCCGTCGCACAATGCAAGATGTCGTGATTCCACTAAGGGACCCTTGAGGGCGGTCACCGAACCCGTACAAATGGCAACTGGGGGCGGTCACCAAACCCGTACACTTTGGCAACCCGCGGGGACGGTCACCGAAACCCATCAAATTGCTCGGGGCGATCTCCACAACCTAATTGGAGATCCTACGCTTACCCGGAGCTCTACACGACAATGATTGAGCTCCGAACACCACAAAACGTCTAGGGCGCCCAAGCACCCAAGAGGAACAAGCTCTAGGATACCAAGCACCTAAGAGCATGTCTAGTAGAGCCCTCAAACCCTTAAATCTAAAATTGGGTTTAAGGGTTGAGAATAGGCCATTTTTGACAC